TCTCTATATATATTTATTTCTATGAAGGAAAGCATTGTGAATCAATTTCTTAAGAACCATTGGTTCAGTGTTTATAGTTTCAGTGTTTATAGTTTTTATTCCTTATTTTCAGGAAACAAGTGTATAATGTATATTTACTAAGTCAATTTTGCTAAGTCAATTTTTACTAAGTCAAAATATATACCTCTTAAAAAAAATTATCTCATCAAAAAATGAAGATCCTGAAATTTAAATATCAGTATGAGAATTCATTTTGTGCTAAGCCAAAGACCACTATTAAAATACAGATTAATCTCAATTAGCATTAGTTTTTCATTACTAAGTCAAAATATATACCTCTTCAAAAAAAATTATCTCATCAAAAAATGAAGATCCTGAAATTTAAATATCAGTATGAGAATTCATTCTGTGCTAAGCCAAAGACCACTATTAAAATACAGATTAATCTCAATTAGCATTAGTTTTTCATGTGAGTAAGAGAACCCTAAAAAGTGGCTAAAATACAAATAGCCATCTATTTCTCCGATGTGAATAAAGTCCAAGGAAGGCACTCCAGAGCTTGTCTGGTGGTTCCAAAATTATCAGTGCTCAAGTTCCTCCAGATCTCTGCACTGTAATGTCAAGAGTTACATAGATATAATCTGGTCCAGGATGGCTGCTAGAGCCCCAGCCATCACATCCATGCTCTAATCATCAGTAGAAAGGAAACAAAGAAGAGCAGGTTGTGCCCCCACTTTTTAAGAACAAATCTTACAAGTCCCACCAATACTTCTATTAGCTACAATGGAGCTCATAAACTTTTAACTGGGAAATCATGTGCCCAACTCAAACTTAAGGCTCTATTAATTTTAGGGAATTGGGTAAAATGGTTATTGGTAGGAAACTAGCTGTCTCTGCCAGACTCAGGGAGGGGAATTACCTCATCTATCATGAGCCTTAATGTGAATGAGTCTATCAACTCCTTTTTGAAAGTGAGATTTCATAGGTAAAAAAGACTGGAGATTATATGAGGACACTAGGCTGGGGACAGTGGAAGCTTCCTAATGGGGTGGATAAAGGATATTGAAGGGAAACCTCTGATTTAGAAAGTTGCTCAGAGCCATCATCAGACCCAACTCCATCTTTCTCATTTATACTGTCATCCATTTAAAGAGTTTGGATTTTATACTAACAGGGAAGAGGTCATTTATATTTATTTTGTTTCAAAAGAATAAATTATTTTTTAGAAGATTTAATCACAATTTTGGTTGCATTCTTTCCCCTCTTTTTTAGAGAAATGTCTTCCAATGCCAAAATGGGTTCTGGATTTCCATGGTTATTTTATTCGTCCTTATGAGTTTGTCTTTCCCTTCCCATGAACCCCAAAAAGAATGGAAAAATGGCACCATATTGATAAAAAAAAATGTGATGTCTCCCAAGACATTCTTTAAATGTCCTATGTGCAAATATGGACAAAATGAATGACTCGGATCAACTAAGTGAACATTTCTGCACAGATGTTTGAGGTGAAACTGGCTGGCTTTGCAAAGCAGTTCTCTTTATATTCTAGCAACATTGCTTTACAACGTGTCTGGGTGACAGGCCAATTTCTTAAGCGATTTATACATATTTAGTACTTTCCAGCACTTTTGCTCTTAGAACTAACTGATGGGGTAGAGGAGCTAACCACTCAGTGCTATGGAACATTGCCTTAGCAGAATCATTGGTGGAAAAATCATACATTTCTCCATTAGACACCTCAGTTCTCAAAAATTTCACTCACTTCCAGCAGTCTCATCTTTTATATTTTGATATCTTTACTCACAATAAGAGAAAAAATTCAGTAAGATGTTAGAGGAAGGAAGGAATGGTAGAAAAAGAAAAGATGAAGATTCAAGTGGGAATTTTACGACGTTTCATCATGTTTGCTGCAAAGTAAGCACTTGCTGCGCATGAATGCTTGTGTGCAGGAAAGTTCCACCTCCAATCACAGCGGTGAAGTGGCTGTGAACTGAATGCCACCGGCCTCTTTGGGCAACCTCTGCCTTCACCCTGTGCCTTTTATAAAGACAGACCAAGCATGTAGTGGCTTACCCCACCCCAACCCCCTGCAACCATCCCCACCCTTGGCTGGTTATTTAGATTTTTCTTAAGAGGTTGATGAGATCAGGAAAAGGTTCTGTTTTGGCCTGCACTCACGAACAAACTTCATCTAGAAAACCATTCATATATTGCAAAATAAAACGATCCTTGTCACTTAAGGGAAAACATTGTCTTTAGTAGCTCCAATCTTCCTCTCCTGCTTTTTCCATCTCAGAAGGTTTTTTTCTGTTTTCTTATCCTCCCTCCTCCCTTTTGCTTCTACCATCTCCTAAAGAGGAGTATAAAGGCTGGTGAGAGCTTAGTTACCTTCCCATGAGGCATATGAATAGTACATTTAAACTGGGATAAAAACTACAGAGAAGCAGCTCTGCTGGTGGAATTTAGGCGAATGAATAATGGAAAGAGCTGGGTATTGCAGCCAAAGAGAACTGGAATTGATTCCCAGTTCTGTCATTTAGAAACTGTCTTCAGCAAGTTATGAGCTTTTCCTGTGCCACAATTTCTTTGTTTATAAAATTGAAATAATAATATCTGCTTCATAGTTATTTCAGAATTAACTGAAACTTTTTATGTAAAACTTAGTGCACTATTTGACACACAATTGGCATTTAATAAATATTACTACTCTAACCTTACCAGAAGGGAGATGGAAGAGTTGGGACAAGTCATGGGGCTGCCTCAGTATTCAATCTGCTGGGAACAGAATCAATCGACAGAGTCATGTGTGTGTGTGTGTGTGTGTGTGTGTGTGTTTGTGTGTGTGTTTGTATTTAGGGGAAGGAAGCTTATTCAACTGCATTGATTTTTTTTTTTCATCTGTCTTCTTAAGTACTTTTAGTGTCTGATACTTCCTGACATCAACAAAAATAGGAAACTAAGGAGGTCCTTGATGAACAAGAAATTAGAGCCAATAAGGCTGAGTGGTTTGGGAGTTATTCTGTCCATGTGCTGATAGAAACCTAATGAAATATTTTTATCCCATTCCTGTGCACCCTAGATCTACTTTCTCTTTTGGATGGTGCTGATCAAGTGATAAATTTCTCTAATCTTCATTTTCTGTGCTGGCCACTCTGTTTGGAGCCAACACATTCTTTTTCCACATGTGTTAATATCACTGTCTTAGGATCTGTCAAAATGAATAATAACTTCCTTCTCTGTGCCAGACCTGATTTGATACTCTTAATGGCAAAGATTCAGACCTTTCTTGGCACCAAAATACAGGAACTGGGCACAGATCTCATAGCTTTGTTTGTTCCTTATCAAGCAATGCCCAGTGTTTCCATACTACTAGCTATAGGGGCCAAGGGAAAACTTGTTCACTGCTGCAGGTTCATTAATAAAGATCACTGACAAATTTAGATCAATATGAAGGAAAGGCATAACATTTTATTATTTAACATGTTGAGAGAAGGCAAACACAGGTGAATCACAAGAGTAATGTCCCAATTTTCTATTGGGGTACAGAGCTTTTATACCTATCTCCATGGTGAAAGAGGAGATGGGGGATAGGAGTAAGTGATTCTCAGGGGGTATAATGGGCCTGGAGAATGTACTTTGCCTGGGCAAAGTCTATTTGGCCCACAGAGCAGACAATGACTGTAAATGATTCTCTTCAAAATATTGACTAGGACTGAAATTTAAGACAATGGTCTGTGACAAAAGTTAGTCCAGATGTGTTGACAAACTCCAATCTTCCTTTGTGTGATAAGAGTTAAGTTAATGAAAACTCAGAGAAAAAGGCCAGAGAAAATTTTCTTCTTTGGCAGGTCTGGACTTTAGGCAGATAGGGGAACAGCTTCATCCTGTGCTTTGGAGAGTGACAGAAAAATTAGAGAAGGGGGAGAGAGGATGTCAGAGACCTCAAGGCTGCTTCTATCATGTCAAAGCACAATATTTGGGGGGTAACAGCTTTCTGGACCCCAACAAGGCCCTGCTGTCCTTGTTCTGCTTTGCCATGGCATGCAAGGTCCAGCCTCACATCAGGTGCTACTCCCTCTCTGACTGTAGGTGGATGTCTTAGAGTCCCTAACCCTGTTCGGGATCATCCTTCAGGAAATTAACAAGGTCATGAGACTTCCAAGAATCATCTTTCTTGGGGCTAGACTGCAGACCCATGGTAAAACTTACTCATGACTTTCCCCAGGATAAGAACTCAGGCTCCTGTCTGTAATGAGATCATGTCAGCCCTTTCTTCTGGTTTGTTTGGGAAAACCACTGGCTGTTTTTTATAAAAACATTTGGAAGACATACATATATAAAACAAGAAAGTAAGTATGATACCTTAAAAAAGAACATGAAGCAATGTCTGAGCATCTTTATCCCATGGAAGATCTGCAGATAACCCGCAGATATGTGGGATGAGTGTAGGCCGTGGCTGCATTCTTTGTTTGAGTTATGGCTGCCACAATTTATTAATACACCATTCCCATAATAAAGAAAAGTGGATAAATGGTGGGTTATGAGAAATCTATGCCCCTCTCAGGGTTTTCCTGATAATCCTCACAATATTCACTATTGAATTACTTCTTCTGGGGGGGTTCTAACTTCAGGTCCATGGACACTCAAGAAGTCTGTGACACAGCTATATCTCAATTATAATGTACAAAAGGTCTTCAAAAAGTTCATGGAAAGATTTATATTATGTTTTATGGGCCGGCCCGGTGGTGCACTGCTATAGTGCGCTGCTTGGGAAGCGCGGTGGTGCTCCCGCCGAGGGTTCGGATCCCACATACAGACCGGCCGCTCAATGGCTGAGTGAGGGGCGGGAGCAACAGTGAGGGTTGTGATCCCGTGGCCGGTCCCGGTCCGGTACGGGCGCGACACTGAGGGTTGCGATCCGTAACGTTCACTCTGAGCAGAAGCCCAAAGTGAGTCTGGCCTGAAATCAGAGCAAGCACTGGAGAAAGACTTCTTTGTTAATGGAAAGAGGAAAGGAGAAAAACGTTTCCAATAAATTGCAGCAAACTTTCCACCATTCTAAAGAACCTACCTTCCTTATCAATGAGGACGTCCTATCTAGTGACTCCCATTCTAGTCTTTTGCCAGAAACAGTGTGTGTCAATACTGGTGAAAAAATAAAGAGAAGCACTCAGAAAAATAGACCTGGAACTGTGATACTGTCAAAACCATCAAGTAGGAGAATTATGTCGCAAAGCCACTTTAGCCCACCTGTGATCCCATCTCGCAGGCCTGGATTCCAGGTATGCTATATCTGTGGCCGAGAATTTGGGTCCCAGTCCCTTGCTATTCATGAGCCCCAGTGCTTGGAGAAGTGGCGTATTGAAAACAGCAAGTTGCCCAAGCATCTGAGGAGACCAGAACCCTCCAGACCACAGCCTCTCAGTGGCAGTGGGTCCTACAATCTCCAGGCAGCTAATGAGGTTGCATTTCAGAGTGCCCAGGCTCAGCTGCTGCCCTGCAAATTCTGCAGTCGCACGTTCTTGCTAGATCGTCTCCTTGTTCACCAGAGAAGCTGCAAGCCAAAGGGTGAGGATCCTAGAGCACCAAACCCCAACAGTTCTGACGATCTTACTGGTCTCAAGAAATCTTCTGGTAGAATCCCAGCCCAACAAAGGACTCTCATCTGCTATATTTGTGGCAGAGAATTTGGCACACTGTCCCTTCCTATTCACGAGCCCAAATGTCTGGAAAAGTGGAAAATAGAAAATGACCGACGCCCTAAGGAGCTCCGCCGGCCCCTCCCACAGAAGCCTCAGCCCCTTTCAACTGGACAGTTCACCCAAGAGGGGCCAAGTCAAGCTCAGCTTGTGCCCTGCCCAAATTGCAACCGGACCTTTGCCCCAGACTGCCTTCTGGTACACCAGAGAAGCTGCAAAGCTCAGTCTAGTGGGCCAAGAGATCAGAGTTTGACCTTAGGGAGTAAAGGTGGCTTAAAAGAGTCCACCAATTCCAAGCAGCAAAGGAACATGGCAGCACCCAGTGTAACTGATAAGGTAACTTATATCACATAAAGTGCATTAGGTGGACCTGGGGGTGCATTCTGCTTCCAGGGAAATAAGAAAAATCTATCCCCAGAATCAGCTGCTTCAGCCTCTAGGATTTTTTTCTTTCAATGCCTTATTTCTGCCTTAATGCAGCCTGTCCAATCCGACCCCCTGTTGGACTCCAGAGGCTATATATTCTCTTGGCAAAATAGATATAAGAGCATCCTTGCCTGATGGGTTCATATTCCTCTTCAATTCTGCTGATTAAAAGAAAGAGAGATGAACTTCTTTCCTCTCTGATCTCTCTTACCAGTGATCCCTGGGAGAGACTGCTATTTGAAAATGAGTCATTAATGCTGTGTCTACATTACAAAGATATTATTCCCATTCCAGCAGCCAATATTTATTGCTGGTTTATTTTAGTCATCTACCTTAGGAATTCATTTTTGGCAATGCTGGGTTGTGCTGAGTTTATCTTACTAAAATAGAATCTGTGTCAAAAACCCCAAATGACTTTAGCAACAATTAAATAGTGGTGCACTTGCAGAAATACACATGTTCTGAAAATATATCATGTTTTCTTTTAACACTTATGTAGTTATAGCGAGTGGGGAATTAACCCCCACATAGACACTGAAGCAACTAGTTTTATGTTCACGGTTCTAGGAGGTTCTCAATTCCTGCTGCTGCTCTGTACCCTGTGTTTGGGTTGAACGCAGGGCCCTGAGCCTCACTTTGGACCATTGTAAATTAACGAGTGGGGAATTAACCCCCACATAGACACTGAAGCAACTAGTTTTATGTTCACGGTTCTAGGAGGTTCTCAATTCCTGCTGCTGCTTTGTACCCTGTGTTTGGGTTGAACGCAGGGCCCTGAGCCTCACTTTGGACCATTGTAAATTAATATGACCCGAGGTATCCCCAACTTCTAGGGGAAAGAGTTGTTGGGCTTTTACCTAAAGTCCCACCACTAAACAGGACTGGGAGGAATGAGTATGAGAGTGGATCCCTGAAGGATAGGGCATGGCCCATGCTCTTTGTCCTGCCATTAAGCCAGGAAGCCTTGTGTCACATCTTAAAGATTATCAGATCATGAGAAATAGGAGGTGGTAAAAGTCTTTTCTCCATGGCTTGCTACTTGAAATGCCTAGCCTGTAGGGATTCTAAACATGGACTGTTTTAGGGAATCTAACGTTATACAAGTTATCATAAAAGATTAAATCAAAGGGATGTGTGGCAGGGGCATCCTTTATTTTTAGTCCAATTTTAAAATGAAATGATTACGGTCTTACTGGTTTAGAAGATTCCAAGACAATGATTCTAAAGCCGAAGAGTCAGACTAACAGATGCTGGGCACGTTTTCCTACCAACATTAAAGAGAAAACAGCTAGTTTCTTTGCCTAATGAAAAACCCAAAGTCTTAAGTGTGGCATGGGCTTCAAGCTGGTCTCAGAAACATGACGTGTTTTTCCCATCTTCTGGCTGTTGCTTTTCTTTTAGAACGTGTGGGGGTCTGGATTCAGAGAGTAACAGGATCTATGTGTCTCAGGGTCACAAATCAGAAACTCCATAGAGTTCTGACTTACAGCCCTGTTTCTTGATTGTATGCATTTACTTCAAATGTTCTCATTACAGATGGAGAGATAGGGAAGAGTGTGGTTAGGATTCTTGTGCTTGTTGTTGTAACAAATACTTTGTACTTCAAAAATGGAGCCAACAGACTGAGCACAGCGTGTTCTCAGTCACGACTGCTAAAAGAGGCTGGCCCACACCCACAGCTTCACAAGAAGACACCTTCCTGACTCACCCAGTCGTCTAGTGGGAGAATAATATCAAGGAGAGGCCAGCCATGGCCCCTCACGGCTCGTGCATTTAGGTGAGAGAGTGGGGAGTCTGTCTAGAGAACTTGGCTATGCTAAGCACCCCAACCCTGCTCTCAGGCCTTGAAACGCACGTGTCAGTGGGAAACTGGCATCCACTGCTGTCAGATGTGCACTGGCCTGTTTGGAGACCACACAGGCTTCAGTGGAGGGCAAGGAAAGGTCATCCAATATAGGGTCCGTTTAGCTGCCAGATTTAAAACAAGCTTGAGTTAACTAAAATGGAGAAAATGCCTAGGCTTCAGAGAAGCATAAGATCTTTTGAAGCAATGGGTTTTATCCTTTCCCCAGAGAAGACATTCCATAGTGCTTTCAGAAGAAAGCCCTTCCTTCACAGTGTAGTTTTCTCTTTTACTTACGATTTGATCCTGTCTACTGATGTTTTTCTTTCTTTGTATCACTTAAAATTTAGATAGAGCTAGCAATCACTCATTTTCCATAAAGAACACTACCCTATGCATTATTAGATTTCAGAATTTCATCTGCCTGTGACGGCTGACTTTTGGCTGATACACACACATTCCTTTTTACAATTCATATGTCTGCTTCATTTCTGCTCGTCATTTAGAACAATTTCCCTCTAGAAGCCTTGATCTGACTTCAGATTAGAATAAGCTATCTTGCCCGATGCTGTCAGGGGCTTCAGTCTTGTAGTGAATTCAGGTGAGGTTAATATTTTCAGAACCATGATCATAGTACCTGGAAAACAATTCACTCCAGTTGGGTGATAATGACTGTTTCATTGGCAGAGTATGTTACCTTTCGCTCAGGATGTTCCTCCAACATAGATTGGCTCAGTTCTCTTATGACACAGATGCTCCTGTTATCACTTCTATCAAATCTAAACACAAAGGCTGATAAGTTCTCTTGCAAGATCTTGGCGGGCATTTCGCTTTGCTCTCTAATCACTGCATTGGCTTGAATTGTCTCATTGCTTCTCATCTGAAATGTAGGGATGAACTTACTCTTTCTGATCTCACAGGAAAGTTGTGAAGACACTAAGTACTGAATTTTTATTTAAAAGGTGTGACTATCGTGGGTCTATTGCTCTCCCACTACATGGTGTAATGAACAGTATCCCACTCCCTTTCTCCCACTACATAGTGTAATGAACAGTATCCCACTCCCTTTCTTTCCTCTGTAAAAAGAAAAGCCTGCATGAGCAGTGAATTTTTATTTAAAAGGTGTGACTATCGTGGGTCTATTGCTCTCCCAGTACATGGTGTAATGAACAGTATCCCACTCCCTTTCTTTCCTCTGTAAAAAGAAAAGCCTGCATGAGCAATGTCCAAATTTAGCAAGATTTTCAAAGCAGTGTTCCAGATGAAATTTTGATACATAACACAGAAAAGCATAGATTATCATTTTAAATTTTAATATTGCATCTATTTAATAAGATCCTTTGATGTCTATTTTAGTAAGTGATTTCGTAAGCTATGCTGAGGAATGTAACAATAGGGGTCATCATTGCTCCTCATTTTAGTCTGAGTAAATAAATTTTAATATTTGCATTTGATATTATGCAAAAATATTGCTCTTTTCTAGCAGCTGATAGTAATTCATTCTTTAGCTTTTGGCTCTTTCCAGCTAATTAGAACACAGGTTGACAGAGTTAATTAAACATAACTATAAATCAAAGTGATGCTTTTGCCTAATAATCTTTTATCAGTTAGATAATGGGTGGGGTTTTTAGGATTTTTCTATAACATGTGAAACATTGTTTCAAAAAATCCTGTCTGATATTGCAAAATAGGCATTATTTTTCTTAAGAGAAACTATGTTTTCTATGTCATTGTCTTTCTGAATGTAGTTTTAAGCTACTTTTGGAATCCTCAGTGCTCAAGTTTGAGCTAAAACCCCCTCAGACACTCTCTAGCATCGGGTGCTGCCATCTGGTGTTTCCTTTTAAAGCAATGTTTTCTACATTAAAGTGTATTATTGCTTTTGTCTTCTTTGTGTTATCCCCAATTATATTTGAGAAAGTGCTCTTATAATACAACCTCCAGTTATTTAGGGCTATTATATATTGGATTTAAAGTTAAAATTATGTTTCTTGGCTAAGTATGTCATTCTCTAAAGGCAAAATCCTCAGTAGGAAGGTCACAATCAGAAACACTCAAAAGGGCAGGATAAATATTCTCATATTTTCAAATTTTGTATGTGTGCATGTGTATCTGTTGGGTAAGAAGAATTTTGAGTTTAGGGGAGAAATGGAAGAAAGAGAACTAACTTTTATTGAGTACCTTTATGTCTTAGTCTTTTTGTGCTGCTATAATGAAATACCTGAAACTGAGAAATTTATGGGGAACAGAAGTTTATTTCTCATAGCCTGGAGGCTGGGAAGTTCATGATGGAGGTATCAGCAGGATGAGTGGTGAGGGCTGCTTTGTGCTTCCAGGATGGCGCCTTGTTGCTGCATCGTCTGGAGGGGAGGAACGCTGTGTCCTCACATGGCAGAAGGGACAGAAGGGCCAGAGAGCACTCCCTTCACCCTTGGTCCCTTTGATGAGGGTGCTAATCTCATTCATGAGGGTGGAGACTTCATGACTCAATTACCTCCCAAAGGTCACATCTCATACTGTTGCGCTAAGGATTAAGTTTCAACATGAATTTTGGTGGGGACACCATCATTCAAACCACAGCACTTTAAGATCATCAGCACTTTGTATACATGATCTCACTTTAATCTTCATAATGTTACTATATTATATATTATATTGTAATATTACTGTAACATAGATATTATTTTCCATGTGGGTTGACTGAGGTTAAGCAGCTGCCCAAAGTCACAGAATGGGTTTGCACAGAGCCAGGTCTGTGTAATTCCAAAGACTCATATCTTTTCATGTCACTATGAAAGAGGCATATGAGTGACATAAACAAAGAAAAAAAAAGAGTATGGCTACCCTGCCTATCTGTGAGTGTTAGACAGCATGTAAGGACAAAGAGGAAAAATGTTTGTTCATTCACCCATATTTAAGATTAAGCACTGGACTAAGTACTAAAAATATAGACACAATTCTTGACGTCATGAAGTTTTTAGTCCTATGGAGGAAATGATACATAATTTAAATATATGCCTATATACATTTCAAATTGTGCTATGACACTGTGTAATGGTGGGAGGTAGACATTCAGGATCCTGGT